AAGTCCATCCTGCAACTTTGTTTTCAGCCCTTAAGAAACAGAACCTGATGCTTGGTTTAACCTAGAAGAAGCTAAACATGGACATATTCCTCTTGCCAGGGGTTGATTTGGGGTGGGCCTGGCACATGATCTACTTCTGGCCAAGTAGATATTAAGGGAAATTTGCTGTGGGGCTTGGACATGTTTCTGGGAACAATTTTTCTTCCACTAAAGGTTGTTGCATGTGGATGTAGTGCCTGGAACTGGCCTGTGGACAAGCTGACGTGGTACAGAAGGGAGACGGAAAAACCCTGGGCCCTTGACACCATCATTGAGCTACTGAAAACCAAACTCACAGGCCCTGCTACAACACTTGTGGAGATGTAGCTGATAAAATTAGCTTCCCAATTTAGCCAGCCGAGTTACGTTTTCTAATATTTGTAATAGAAAGCATTCTTTAAAAATATTTAAAGTTTTGGTGACAGATATACTAGAAATTTCATCAGATGGCTTCTGTTTTCTCTTAGGAAGGTAGGGGATGGGTAATTTAAGAAAGTAAAAAATTGAAAAACAGCTCCTTAGAGGAATTCAGGAGTCGGGCAGGCCTGACGATACCTGAGCCCAAGAGATTATAGCAGGAACAACCAATTCACTAGGAGGCTTTCCTCCAGCTGTGCTCAGTAGCCCAAGAACAGCAGTGGAGAAGGTAGATTATTACATTCTGCAAGGCTTGGGGATTCCTCCCAGGCAGATGCTTTCCTTTCTCTGACACATTATATTGCCTTTAAGATGTTGATTCAGTTCAATGTTAATCAAATGCCTACCATGTACAAGGCACCCATAGGTTCCCATGAAAATAAAAAAATATTGTTGTGGCTTCCAGAATGGCTCAGATGAATCCAAAGGATCTTCCAGTGGGTACATAGCTTCATGGCATTAAATGATGTTCAGTTGTGAAATTGAAAGCGTTCATGTGTCTCTAAAGACTTAACAGCTAATGAAAGACATAGATTTTCAAAATGGAAAAAAAAAAATCACAGGAAAAAGAAATAAATTCCTGTGGGCGACTTTTGAACTTCTTTGGGTTAAAAACAAGGGGAATATGGTGATTAGATGCTCCAGGTTTCCTTAAAGAGCAAACAAAAGCAAGGAAACAAGCCAGCGCTGAGCACGTTCGCGCCTGTATTCTACCCTGAGTGTCCAGCACGAACAAAGGGCAAGTTCATGTCCTTTGGGCTGCAGACCTGCTGGAGAAACATTAATGCTTATGGCAAAATTTAGGATTTACACATGGCAGAGAGAGACATAAAGGAAATGCTCCCTTCTCTTTGGACAGAGATGGGACAGCCAGGTAGGCAGCCAGGAGGTTTTCAAGGGAGTCCTAGTAGAAATTCTGTAGACAAGAAGGGTGAGCGAAGCATTTCAAGCACGAGCAGCAGCCTGTGTGAAGGCCTGGGTGTGCACAACAGGGAGCCTCTTTGGGGCCTGCTGTAGCATTCTGGGCTCCTCCCAGGTAGAGAGCTTTACGTAGGAGGAGGATCTATAGAGGTCCAGGGTCATTTAAGAAACATGAACCTGGATGCTGCTAGAGAGAGGGAGCCACTGGGAAGCAAAGGGAGGTAAACAATGCAACCAGATTAGTGCAGAAGCTGAACTGTAGGGAGTTGCTGGAAAGGGACTGGAAACGGGGCAGGCGCTCTGGCGAGCAAGGCATTCCAACAGGAATGGAATGCACATTTAAAAACACAATAGGGATGCACATTTAAAACACAAAATATCTCTGATATTTTGGGACCGGGGAATCTGTAGACTATCACATTTGGATTTTCAAGTTCGAAAGGGTATTTCTGAATCCTTTGCCAAATTGGAATTGGCCTTGTACTTTTTTGAGATGCTGACAGAGTTGCAGAATTACAGGCCAATGACCAGAATAATTTTTTAAAAGTCATATTTATCCTTTGAGTGGAGTTTTTTTAAAAAAACGAAACAATGAAACTGTGAAAGAGATCAAAATACATACCCACAGCTACTGTTCCAACAATTCCCTTTCCTCTGAAACACCCCTCTCACATACCCTGCTTGCCTCTCTTCTCAGTGCAGCAAATCTCTCTAGCCTCAGCCCCAGGTGGCTCTTCTCTTCCAGCCCCCCAGCCTGCCTGTTCCACACTCTCCCACGCACCTCCATCCACTCACTCTCCCAGACAGAGAGACCCCATGTTCTCCAGGAGGGAAAGAGCTTCTAGCAATCAGTGCTTTTCCTTAGAGTCAGGAGAAAGGGGGATGACCTGGCTCACTCCAGGTTAATTATTTTTCATCCCATCATATTACCTTCTCATTTGAAACCTGTTATATTGAGTAGCCAGGACTCAATCATTGATGTGATACAAAGATTGAGACAATTACCTGAGTCATTTAGGAAAAAGAAAGGAGATTTCTGCTTTCATCATTCATCAGTGTATTTTTCTTTTTTAAATAAACTTTATTTTCTACAACAGTTTTAGGTTCATAGCACGTTTATTTTAATAGAGGACAAATGTCCATTCAATGCTTAAGGAAGGTTCTGAATTAAGCAGAACCTTGCTACATAAGGTTTTATAGGTCATGACATTTCCTACAAAACAAATTGTGGGAAAATGACCTAGATGCTGCCTCATGGGCAACTCAAGGGGTTTATGGAATTCACTGACATGATGATTCTTGTGTAGTTTGAAGCTAAGATTTATTGAGCATTTATCTGTGCCAGGCATACTCCAAAGGCTCTCTTGTATTAGCTAATTTAATCTTCACAACCAGCCAATTATTAGCCCCAATTTATAGCTGGAAAAAACTATGAGACTCGGCTAGTGAACGGTGGAGACAGCAAGAGCTCAAATCCAGCCTATTGAATTTCAAAGCCAATTTTAACCACTAACTCTTTGTATTAGTCAGGTATCTCCAGAAAAAGAGAACCAATAGGATATATATGTATGCAACAGGAGATTGATTATGGGAATTGGCTCATGTGATTATGGAGAACAAGAAGTTACCAAGATCTGCTGTCTATAAGCTGGAGAACCAGGAAAGCCACTGCTATAAGTCAGTTCAAGTCCCAAGGCTGGAGAATCAGAAGCTCCAATGTCTAATGGTAGGAAAGGATGGATGTCCCAGCTCAAACAGGGAGAATGGATTCTGTCATCATCTGCGCTTCTGTTCTATTCAGGCCCTCAATTGATTCCATGTTGCCAGCCCACATTGGTGAGGGCAGATATCCATCACCCAGTTTACTGTTTCAAATGCTAATCTTACCTGAAAACACCCTCCAGACAAATTCAGATGTAATGTTTTACCAGCTATCTGAGCATCCTTTAGTCCAGTCAAATTGAAAAATTCACCATCACAATTCCAGCCCTTGCTAATCTGACACCCACACATGTCTTTTTAAGGCATACTTAATCTGTAAATAAAGACAGCAGAGTTATAATTCCACCTAACATGATACAACTCGGCTGTGTACAACCAAAAATCCCTTCCCTAGAAGAGGAGGTAAAGTTCTTGAGTGAAGTTGACTCTCCTGATTTCCCATAACGTAAATACTGATGTAATATTAGCAATACTTAATTACTGGTATAAAGTTAATACAGCTTAATGTTACATGATAAGGAAGTAAGAGAGAAAAGAAAATATAGATATTTGCTTAGCATATGTTAATAGACACACAAATGTGTGTCTATTTATAACAATATAAGGAGAAAAAACTCATGAAAATTACAGCTCTTGTTTCTATAACTGGTCACATAACTGTAGCTGGTATCGATAACTACTTTAGTCTCTTACCCATTCCGTATTCCCTTTGCCTTCAGCAAGCACCTCAACTGATCATGGTTTTCTTACCTGGCAGAGTGACCCAAACCTTCATACCTTAAGTGTCTGAGCTAATATTAGTTCTGCCTGGATTAAGTTGTTGTAGTTTTCCATTGATTTTAATCACAGGAGATGGTAATTAAGAGATACTCTAAGAGATCTCTTGTATTTCAAACATGCTATTTCTTACCTCCACTGTTGAATAGTAGTGAATTTTCCCTTAGCAGTCAGATAGTCATGCAGCCAGCACTGTAACCCCCTTCTTGCCCTGTTGACTCAGGCATAAGGAGCCCAAGGCGGCCTAGTGGCAGACTTAACTTCCAGTTCAATGGAGTAATTGTTATGTCTACCGGTGGTAGCATTTCTCCCACTGGAACTAAGACCTCTTGGCCAGCACAGCATGAAGTCATGGGAACAGGAAGCAAAAATTTTGCTAGTGTGTCACTGGGGGTAATGGTGAGTAGTGCCACTCCCATTTCCGCCCCTTTATTCCTAGACCTGTGAATCCTGGCTATGGAAGAAAGAGTACCATGTGTTGGACGATGTTTCAGAGTGTATACAGCCTTCTAGAGAACTGTGCCCCAGCCTGCAAGATACTGCCACCTAGCTGCTGCTGTAAATGAGAATGTAAAAGGCCATTTCCTCTTTCTCCAAGCCTACTGCTTCAGGATGGTGAAGAACGTAGTAGGACCAGTAAATTCCATGAGCTTGTGCCCATTGCTACACTTCTTTGGCTGTGAAGTGAGTTCTTGGTGAGAAGCAATGCTGTGTGGAATACCATGACAGAGGATAAGGCATTCTGTAAGTCCACTAATGGTAGTCACTGTTTCAAATTTGTCCCCGAATGGTATATTGCACGTAGGAAAGGCAAATTCATATCCAGAGCAAGTAAGTTCAAAACGTTGCCTCTTCCATGACAGGATCTAGTCAACCTGCCACCAGGTAGCTGGCTGATCGCCCCAGGGAATGGTGCCACAGCAAAGGCTCAGTGTCGCTTTCTGTGGCCGGTAGATTGGGCCCTCAGCAGTGGCTGTAGCCTGGTTTGTCTTGCTGAGTGGAAGCTGATGTTGCTGAACCCATGCATAATCTCCATCCCTGCTACTGGGCCACTTCGCTCATGTGCCCATTGGGCAATCATGAAGTGGCTGGCAACAGGGTTGACAGAGCGACAGAACGGTCATCCTAGCTATTTAATTATTAAAATCCTCCCCTGCTGAGGTCACCCTTTGGTGAGCATTTGTACGGGACACAAATATTTTTATGTTTTTTGCCTTGAAAGTAATTTACATATGTACATCTCCAAATTTCAGTTGTCACCAATTTTCCAATCAAGTTTCTACGAAGTCCCTGATCCTCCAACCAAACCATCTGTCACAGCCCATGAGTTAGTATGTAATCTCACATATGGCCATTTCTTCTTCTCCTGCAAAGTCACAACCAGATGTGCTGCCTGCAGTTCCGCCCACCAGGAGGATTTCCCTTCACCACTGTCTTTCAGGGATGCCTTAGAGAGAGGCTGTAGTTCTGCATTCTGTTTGCACAAGCCCAGGGGCAGGCCAAATGCCATCTCTTAAAAGGAGGGTAGTTATCTGTGGATGATGACATTGCTCCCAGTGTTCTGTCGTCCTCAAAATACCTGATTATTTAATTTTCTCCAATGCACATTTATACTGGTAAAAATCCATAGGTTTTTCCCATCTCTACTAAAAATACAAAAATTAGCTAGGCGTGGTGGCATGCGCCTGTAGTCCCAGCTACTTGTGAGGCTGAGGCAGGAGAATCGCTTGAACCCTGGGAGCGGAGGTTGCAGTGAGCCAAGATCATGCCACTGCACTCTAGCTTGGTGACAGAGTGAGACTCCGTCTCAAATATATATGTGTGTGTGTATATATATATATATATATACACACACACACACACACACATACACACATATATATACTTATATTTATATATGTGTATATGTGTTCCTCTTTGGGGAAGACTGGGGGGGTGATTAATAGTATAAATTTTTGGTAGTGTACTGAGGTTCTTTCTTGAGGGGACCCAACCTCCCCTTTACTCAAGAATTCCGGACCTTTAAACTGGCTCAAGTCTTGGAATTGATTGAGGGGCTTAGGGTTCTTTAGAGAAACAGAACAAATAGGATTTATTATGAGAATTGGATCACAACATTACGGAAGCTGAGAAGTCCCACAATCTGCTATGTGCAAACGAGAGAACCAGGAAAGCTAGTGGTACTATTCAGTTCAAGTCTGAAGGCCTGAAAACCAGGAGCCTCAATGTCCAAGAGCAGGAGAAAATGATGGTTCAGAGGAAACAGAGAGAACAAATTCTCCCTTCCTCCACTTTTTTTGTTTTATTTGGGCTCTTAACATATTGGATGATGCATGCCTACACTGGTGAGGATAGATCTTTATTTAGTCTACTGATTAAAATGCTGATCTCTTCTGCAAACACTCTCACAGACACACCTCGAAATAATGTTTTACCAGCTATCTGGACATCCCCAGTCAAGTTGACACATAAAAGTAACCACACCCTTGATGACCTTGTGCATAAAAGTTTAACATGTATTTCTTCCTGGAATGTGGTCCCTTGGGTAGAAGTGTAGGAAACATGGGATCCAGAGGTGAGATCACATCAGGCTCATGGGAATAAGCCACGAGAGGAGATGGAAAGAGGTCTGGAGTCCTAGATGGTAAGTGCATCCTGTAAATCACATTGTTGACATTTACGGCATTTCTAGCTCTCAATACTTCTGTAAGTGTTCTTCTAGGAAGGTGTTGAGGCATTAGGTCCTGTTTTCCATGCAGACAAAGATGTAAAGGAGCAGTGCTACCTGAGGCATCATGGTGGTGGCAGTAAGGAAAAAATAAAAATTCCTAAGAAAGTGGAGCAAGTCAGAGCTGCAAGATTCAGCTGCCCCTCTGGACACAGGATTCTTACTCCGTTGTTAATGTTAGAAAACCTGGGTGCATTGTATCATGATTAGGGAAGGGTGTGGTTTTCTTTCAAAGGGCACAACATAGTAAACAGAAACTGTAAGAGTTCCTATAGAATGGAGAATGAGGCCTAGAGCTGGGAAGCTGTGCAGCTTTCTAGTCTTCATCGAACCTCCCACTCCCTTTGGCTCTTTAGGGCACTCCTGTGTTGACGTTAATATTTGTGTTAATACTATCAATTTCTCCTGGACTTCGCTTTCCTGAGTCACTGCTTCCATAAATCACTAACCTTCCCAGTTTAGTGGCCCTGGGGTATATATGACCAATCATAAACCTCTCTTGAACTGGACTCAATGCAAATACTCAATAAATGTTAGTGAATTGATGAGTAACATCAAACTAAATGAGGAGGAAATCATGAACATTGAGTGATCATCTCAAAATGACTTTCCTGAAGTTTTTGTAAGTATCCTAAAAATATCCGGAGGGGAAAATTGTTTCCTGTCATTTTTATTACCAAAAAATTTTCTTCCATGAGCAGTACACTAGCAGCAGCTTCTCCAACTTTTTGACCAAATAGCAACAAGGGTAAAGCCAGGATCGCATACTAAGGGTAAGAGGCAACTTTAATCAGGTTTAGGGAGTCTAAGAGTACATTCAGCAGGAATAAAGGCACTGAAAGTGTCTTCTCTTTGATTCCAAGGCATTCCCCTTTGCCTTTATATTTCTTGGAGTGAAGTCAGTTTCTCAGACATATTTTCACCCACACAGAGATGCTGACATTTTTTCCTGACCTTTCCACTTCAGTTATTTCCAAATAAGTGTCCATTGATGTGGGATGCTGTGCTTATCATTCTGCTCCCATCTGTTCTGGTCTCCACTTGGCATGGGATGGTGGGGAGTTCCATGCCCATTTCCTATGAACCTTTGATCTGTTTCCACCTAAGTTCAGCCCATGTAGCCTGGGAACAAAACATCCCATCCAGCATTGACCTTGGATCACCCACCGATACAACTTGCCTCCCTCTACCTTCGAAATTTTGCACATATAAATATTTCCTTGTTTTGTAGACATTCTGACCATCACAAGTGAAGGCCTGCCTCATGGCTTATGCTGCCAAATAAAACTAGGAACGTATTGTGTTATAATATGCCATTGTTGATACTCCCAGACAACCCATGAAGTTCATTCTGGAATAAAACTGCAAATTGACTCAAAGAGGGGAGAATGAAGAGAGAATCAAGATGGAGGAGGCACTCTGGCCTGTGAGCCAGGCATTCCAACAGGAATAGAATTCAAATTTTGAAAATAGACCAAACACTGTTACTTTGGAACAGAAAATGTATACACTCATCATATTTAGATCTGAAAGTTTGAAAACTTATTTCTGAATCTGTCATCAAATTGGAGTTTGCATTGTGCTTGGAATGGTAACATAGTTGCAGAAGTGCATACAACTCTAGGGAATCTGGATAGAAAAGTTTCATGGTGGGGCCCAAACACTCTGTTTTGGACTCTCCATGTTTTCTCAACTCTCCGAGATGAGAAAAGTCATCTTGGGATGTAAAAGATTACTATGTTTTGGGATAAGAAGCTAAACATAAGAACAGCTAAATGTAAAAGGCTGAAAACGTTCTAAGTATTTTCTAAATATTTTTTAGAGTTAATAGTGATCAACACCTGACCAGATGGAGGATATGACTGAAGTCTTGACCTAGATTGCAAAAGCAGTAGAGAGGCATGTTGTGGCAACGATGGGGGATTTCTACTGTGCTGACAGAGCTCAGTTCATCCACACTCAAAGACTGATACATTTTTAACTTACCTGGTTAGAGGGTGACACTCCCAAAAAGAAACAAAAACTCATGAGAGGAGCTTCTACCATGGATAAATTATAAAAGACAAGTGAAAGCAGATTGGTGAACTGAAGGGAAGAGAGGGAAAGTCAAAGAGGAAGCGTGCAAACACTTCTTGAGTCCCTACCACATATCAGATGTCACCCACAGCAGTTAAAACATGTCATTATATTTTTTCATCTCAGTGGCTCTGAGGGAATGCATGAGTATCTCCACCTAACCTCAGAGACATGAAGTAACTGGACTTAGGTCACTCAACTAGTTTTAGCAGGTACAGGTTTAGAGCAAAGCCCTGACTCAGAGTCCAGGCCTTCTATATGACCACATTGCTTCCTTGAGAACCTTGAATAAAAAAGACCATGTCTTTTGAAGAGTATCAGACATTGATACTAGACCTGGGGAGACATTTCAGAAAGAGTTCAGCTAAAGCTAGATGTAAGTCTGTGATTTCAACTATAAAATAGAGAGCATTTGAAATGTCTGAGTAACCAATGATCTCTGCAAATAGCCCAGCTTAAGTAAAGCTGAAGTGGTCAGCAAAGATGCTCATATGGCTCTCAAGGAATTCAGCTCAGATTTTAGAAAGACACACAGGAAAGGTAGTAAAGCTCATAATTAAGGAGTAATATGCATGTGAGTTTACATCCACGACCTGGAATGCTAAGGAACAAAGGCTTGTGAAAAGTGCTGAAGTGAAAAGTGAGGGGATTTGGAGTATGCTAAAGGCGGGAAGTAGGACTAAAGGATGCTACACTTAATAGCTGGGTGATGAAATAATCTGTACAACAAACCCCCATGACACAAGTTTACCTATGTAAAAAAACCCTGCACTTTTATCCCTGAACCTAAGATAAAAGTTTAAAAAATAAATACCCAAGAAAACCATGAATAGCTAAGGTAATACAGATGACCCCTGACCATGGTTCGATGTGATTTTTTTTAAACTTTACTATGATGCAAAAGCAATATGCATTCAGTAGAAACCATACTTGGAGTACCCACACAATCACTCTGTTTTTCACTTTCAGTACAGTAGCAAATAGATTGTCTGAGCTATTTAACACTCCATTGTGAAAAAGAAAGAATGAAGAAAGACCTCCTCCAAGGGCTGATGATGTAACATCAATGGGAAACAGGGAGAAAACAATACTGTTCTACTGCTAGTTTGCTTCTGTTGTCTTCATCAATAAGAACAATCTTTAGATCTGCCATGTTTGATCCAACTCTGGTAAAGACTCTTAAAACTCAACTCCCTTGAGTTTACATCTCTTGGCCTAAACTAATGAGCTTCCTGAGAAAATTTGCCAGACAGGTCACAAGGCGGCATTAATCTGTGACAGTGAAGCAGGACACAGGCTCCAAAAAGGTAGAATTTGGCATATGCTACCTTGATTTTCAAAAAGGGAGGAAGATAACGTCTACAGAACGCAGTCTGGCAAGCTCGATGTATGCATTCCAGGACAGATGAGGAATCTGCTTAGATTTACTGCACACAAGCCATGCTGGACTCATCTCCTTTGTCTGTAGAGTTCTTCTTTACATGGAAGGCTGCAGGCAGACAAGATTAAGTCTTGAGAAGAACATTTGCGGATAGAACGTAATAAATCAAATAAGTTCATTTGTAACTGGTAAGAGACCATATCCAAGGAAGTGCTGCTCATGAAACCATGTCATCCAGCAGAGAGATCTCCAGGAGTTTCCATCACAGTCTGACCATGTTTAAACTTTCTGTTTTAAAGAATATAGACTGAGCTGGCTTTTTAATCAATGCTCCAGAAAATGTAAGACTGAGAACAATGACTGAAATGTTGGATGTCTGATGTAGGGTTAAAAAGGAACTTGAACATTAGCCTGAATCCAACAAAGAAACATATTATGGTTAACATGAAGTTTTCTGGTTAGATTTCAAGATGAACTTCACATGTATACGTGTCAAAACAGTAGCATATAAAGATAATAACCTTGGGGATTTTCTTTTTTTACTCAAAATGAGTCAAGAGCATGAAGAAACTGCTAAAACCTTAACTGTAACTTTTGGCTGCATTAATGAAATGTCTGGAACAGCAGAGTGAAAAGCCTCTCTATTGTACTCGGGTTAGACTGTACCTCACAAAGGGTGTTCAGTTCTGGGTGCACACTCTAAAAAGGACAGTGTCAATTGGGAACATGGTCAGAGAAAAAGAACGAGGTTGGGAAATTAGAAACAGTTAAAGGAACTTAAAGGGCTTGGCATGGAGAAGAGAAAATGATAAGGAATGGAGCTATTTTTATATAGTCTTAGAAGGAAGACCAGGGCCAATTAGATAGGCTTTGAGCTACTTGCAGTTTTAATTATTATAGATGCTCAGCCAAAACATGGGCTGCCTCACAAAGCTGTGTTTCCTCTTACCCTTCAATTACAGGTTGGACAATCACCTGTTGAAGAAGAGAAGGAGACAGAGATTCTTGCCTTAAAGTTACATCATTGCCCGTGGCTGGTCATCCAGTTTTTTCTTGAACACTTCTTGGGTTGGAGAGATCACTACCTAATTATATTGCTCCAACATTTGAGTAAAGCTTATTTAATATTACTCTCACTTATTAGATAACTATGGATCTTAGACAATGCTTCTGTAATGCTCTTTGAGGTTGGAACTGTCCCTTGGATTGAACCTAAGATGAGTTTCTCTCTCTGTTCCCTGCTCTAATTACCTAATTCAGACTACCATCATTGCTTGCCCAGAATACAGCAATTCTTTCCTTAATGTACTCTCCAAATCTTTAGTTTTATGTTTCTTCCAATGCACTCATCACTTTGGCCACAGTATTCCTTCTTAAACACATTTTATCAAGTCACTACCATCTGTAAGACCTTTAGTGACTTAGTATCTTCAGTAAACCCATGGTGTGACAAGGGTGGGATGGGAGGAAGGGGAGTGGTGGGCTGCTCTATAATGAAAGAGATTTAAAAGGCTTAACCATCAAATATAATGCTTGGATCTTGATTGGATACGTATTTGTACAAACCAACTCTAAATTTTCTTATACACCATAATAGAAATCCTTTGATTCATTTCTTAGGCCATTTTACCTCCAACAAACCATCCTACTTTGACTTTCCCTACAATCTAAAGCAAATGTTATATGGTTATAACCACAAATATAGAATAGAAGCATAAATTTGGCTCAGTCTGATTGATCGCTTAGGAGAATAGTAGAATAATAGACTACCGTCTGCATAGGCCGTTGCTCTAGAGAACCATATCCTTTTAATGGAAAGGTAGTAGAGTCAATTGTTGGTTATCTGCTAACTTATGGAACGAGATATAAACATAATTAATCAGTGGATACTTCACCTACTATGTTATTCCGCCGTGGCAACGTCTCAAAACTTTGCTACAAAAAAAAAAGTTGAAGAAAAACAGGGAGATAGGAAGCAGTCTTTGAGAAATCTTGGGTGAACATTGAGCTATGAGCTGAAAATCTTAAGTTGTTTTACTTTTGACAGTTGTATCTAAATTACATCTTTTAGATTAGCCTGAACTAACAGCTTCACCTGTCCTCACAAAGAAATTTTAAGTGAGATTCCCTCTCTGCAGGTAGCTGAAAATATAACATGAAAATTCTATCCCCATGAACCAAGGAAGTAGAAAAGAAAAATCTGTGTACAGGGAGAGACAGACTAAAGCACGTGGCTCAAGGACAGCAGAGGGAGATATTGAAAGAAAAGTCTTGGGGTTTTCCAAGACTTGTTCTAATTGCTTCCTGAGGTCTGGCTGTCTTTCTCCTCTTGGAGTTCTTAAGACACACCTCTAATTCTTGAATTAATCTCCTGTGGTTGATAATGGAAAGAGAAAGTAAAACAAATTAAAAAAAATAAGGCCTTGTCATTTTCTGAACATCTTTCAAGCTTTTACTGTTTCTGTAAAAACTTCCCTATCACATCACCCCAAGAGATGGTATCTTTTTGATTCCTATAAGTGCTTATTATCTCCTCCACCCACTTCACTCACCACAGACTGATTGCATTGTGAGTTATACTCACAGAACCCCCAAGTAGATTACACATTATTTAAAGCTATGATTCCATACTTCCAGGTTTCACACTGCATCAAGACCATCATGTGACAGATAGACCCTCAATAAGCATTTGCCAATTTGATGAGACTGATCCATGCTGAGCAGTTCCAGTTCACCTAGTTGTCGAGCAATTGAAATTATTTTAGGTTTAACAAAAACAACTCGGCTGAACCATGTAGAAAATAAAAATAAAATGAAATACTTAACGACATAACAGTAGGAGGAATTTGAGATTATATACCAGCATAGAAAAAGTTTTAAAAGCTCCCCTAAAAGAGTGTGCAAGCCTAGATTAAATACCTCAAGGAGGTGGAATGTTTTACCAGCTTAACAAATGTAATTAGTTGTTGACTCACTGGTTCATGGTATCTAATTTGTCTATTCAGTTGCTGAAACTTCATGTGCTGACAATTATCTGTGCTTAGACTTTCCACATTTACATCACCCAGAAAAATAAAGAACTTGCTGTACAACTACAGGTTTGGGGAAGTCTGACTAGGCAGGCATTCTCATGAAAAAGATCTAGGGGCTTTAACTGATCCCAAGCTTAGTATGAGTCAAGAGCTTGCTTTAATTTCTTAAACAGGCTAATTCCATCTTAGGCCAAATTAGATGAAGAATCACTTTAACTTAGCACTGTGTGTTTTGGTTATCTCAAAGTTCAGTATCTTGCATGATGCTGAACTTTCGCTATTCCAAATTATCCAAGGTATCCTTTGGCCCCACTAGTGACCCCTGAAACAGTTACTGCCATGTGACACAGCTCAATTGATAGGAAATTCTCTTGACATTTTAAACTTTTTTCTACCATCCACTTCCCTGGTACTTCCACCTCATAGCTTCATCTTGCCCATTGCAAGATGGCCCATTGGTATATGGTATATGGCCCATTGCCCATATACCAAGTCTCACTCTTCACCTTTATGACCATGGAAAGGCAGCTGTCATAAGCCAAATCCAAATCTCAAGACTAGGCTTGATATCTCTCCAGTTCTGGCAACCATTCTCTACGTCATATGGTTTCTAGATCCCTCACTGTTTCGCTTGCCCTTTTTGTGAAGCTCTACTTTATAAAGACACTGGGGCCGAGGCTGGGCATGATGGCTCACATCTGCGATCCTAGGAATTCGGGAGACCAAGGTGGGTGGATCACTTGACCCCAGCAGTTTGAGACCAGCCTGGGCAACATGGCAAAACACTGTCTCTCCAAAAAAAAAATTAGCTAGGCATGTTGGCATGCATCTGTAGTCCCAGCTATCTGGAGGGCTGAGGTGGCAGAATCACTTGAGCCAAAAGGTCAAGGCTGCAGTGAGCTGTGATTGTGCCACCGCATCCCAAGCTGGGTGACAGGGTGAGAACCTGTCTCAAAGAACAAACAAAAACAACCAACCGACCAAACAGACCTAAGGCCAAAAGAGATAAATTATTTTCTCAAAGTCATACAAAAAATATCAGAGCTGAAATTTGTACTCGTTATTTGCAATGAATTGACTCACAATATAGCGATTTCTTTTTTACCTGGAATGATGCTGTATTATAAATCAACCTGGAGGCCAGAGATGCTATGAGAATATGCCAACAGATAAGCAATCAGACCACAGAGTTTCTAGGATTTCTCTATCTTTCAGATGAAAACATGACTACATTTTGAACAAAAGCGTTGAACAAATTTAAGAAAATCAGTATTGTCTCCTCTATTTCTCAGGTAATGAAACTGATAGCTTTTGAAGAATATGCCTTTTCCAGAGCTAAGAAATGGAAGGTGGGTAATAAGCATGCTAGATTTTTAATGTCTGCTACATTTAAGATGGTTATAAACAAACATTCCCTTTATACTTGGTAAGCTATTTCTCTATCTGAACTTGTCTTTTTAAATAATATGGAGCCGGGCACTGGGGCTCACGCCTGTAGTCCCAGCACTTTGGGAGGCCGAGGTGGGTGGATCACGAGGTCAAGAGATCGAGACCATCCTGGTCAACACGGTGAAACCCTGTCTCTACTAAAACTACAAAAAATTAGCTGGGCATGGTGGCGCGTGCCTGTAATCCCAGCTACTCAGGAGGCTGAGGCAGGAGAATTGCCTGAACCCAGGAGACGGAGGTTGCGGTGAGCCGAGATCGCGCCATTGCACTCCAGCCTGGGTAACAAGAGCGAAACTCCGTCTCAAAAAAAAAAAAAAAAAGAAAAGAATATGGAAACACTATATGTAGTCCTGAGAAAAGCTTGATACTGTACTACCTATTTGAGAGTAAAAGACATGTGACGTAGGTGTGTGTTTATTGTAAATGTTGAGATTTATGAATTGCTGAGTCAACCTTACCAAGAATCCTGGAAGTTAGCAATCCTGATTTGACTGTGATTTCTCCCCGAGGTCAGTTCTAGGTCATTGTATTCTGAGTCTTGGTGCCACTTAGTCATGATGGGAATTAAAGTTGACCTGGATTTCCCCCATTGACATTGCCACTTGATTAGCTCTGAAAAATAAAAACTGTGAATCCTATTTCATTCTAGACTTAAGTAGGAGGAAACTTCTGCTTTTCTTCCCAAACATACTCCCTCAAATTTATAGAAGTTAGAAATCTCCATAGAATCACACAGCAGATGTTTCTGGCATCACCCAGAGGGACTAGGTGAGTATCATCATAGAAGTTTTCACAGGCTCCCAGGGTACTACTCAACAAATGAGAGCCATTACTTAACTAATTCAGTCTAATTGGATGAAGAACAGTCTGAGTTTGTAAAATCTTTTAATTATATGCTTAGAAAAACTTCTCACAATAATTTCAAACCATAAAAAATTTTTAAACAATACTTAAAATGTTCATATATCCTTTACCCAAATTTCTAAAATTTCTAACATTGTAACCACATTTTAAAAATCATTATTTTTCTGTGTTTGCCCATATCTGTACTCTTTACATTTTTAGAATCATTCGAGGGGTTAGCCTTTCACACTTCCGTTTACCTCTTAATATTTTCTAATTATTTCTTAAGACTAATGGCATTCTCTCTCTCTCTTCTTTTTTTTTTTTTTTTTTTTTTTTTTTTTTTGAGACCGAGCCTCATTCTGTCACCCAGGGTGGAGTGCAGTGGCACAGTCTTGGCTCACTGTAGCCTCCACTTCCTGGGTTTAAGTGATTCTCCTGCCTCAGCCTCTGGAGTTCTGGACTACAGGTACCCACCACCACACCTGTCTAATTTTTGTATTTTTATTAGAGACAGGGTTTCACCAGGTTGGTGAGGCTGGTCTCAGACTCCTGACCTGGTGATCCTCCTGCCTTGGCCTCCCAAAGTGCTGGGAGTATGGGCGTGAGCCACCACATCTGGCCAAGGCCTCACATTTCTCTCTTATATAATCATAGTACTGTTATCAAATTCAGGACACTTTGATGCAATAGTTTTATTTATATTTTTTCCAATTATCTCAGTAATGTCCTTTATAACTTTTTTCTCTTTTCTAATCCAGAATCCAATACAGGACCATGGATTACATTTAGTTGTCATTTTTTTTTTTTTTTTTTTTTTTTTTTGTCTCTTTTAATCTGGAACAGCTCTGTAGCCTTTCCTTTGCCTTTCATGGCAACGGTCAGCAGTTTTATGGAATGTTTCTCCATTTGGATTTGCTGATATTTTTTCTCTGGCTACAAAACGACATGATTCTGTGTCCCCCTCAGGTATCCCAGGCATAAAATACCCATCTGCTCCTCATTTATTATGTTACTTTTGATCATCTGATCAAATTGTTGTTTATTTTCTTCACTATAGTGTGTCCATTTTCTCCCTTGCAACTAGTAAGCAATATATGGAAAGACACTTTAAGCCCATGCAAATATCCTACTCTTCATCACACTTTTCTTCCTAAAGCTGATTCTTGCTTTAATTAAACTTTGCTATAATGGCTATAAAGTGTTGATTTTACATGTTTACCCACTCTCTCCACATGTATTAGTAGGTGTTCTTTTGTTCTATAATCAGCGTCTCTCTCTCCCTCCCCCTTCCTCTCTCTCTCTCCCTTTCTTCTTTCTTCTCTCCCCTCTCTCTCTTCTCTCTGCTCTGCCTCTCTTCTTCTCTCCCTTCTCTGATTTTAATGCTCAGATTGTCACAGACTTGGCAAGTTGGAGCTCCTTTAAGCTGGCTCCCTTTTTATATGCTCCTATAATTTTTTTTTTTTAAACCAACACTTTCTTGTTTTCTGGTTCAACAAGATGTTCCAGACCCATCAATTAGCATCCCTGCTCTAGCACAGGAATCAACCATTTCTCCAAGGACATCTCTTTCCTTATCATGGGGAATGGTGTTTAGAAACCAAAATCTCGGCATTATATGTTTTCATTGTTACTGAGGTGTTTACCTCCAGGCTCTTGAGGACAGAGCTAGGAAAGATATACACACACAGATGCATACACACACACACACACACACACACACACACACACACACACACACACAAAGGCTTGTCTATACATGTCATAGAAATTCTGCAGTTACACTGATACTTTCAATATCAATCCCAATCCACGAGGTTCTTTGTTGCGTTTCCCCCACCCACTCCATCTTTGAATCTCCCTTCTTCCGCAATGAGAATTCTGCCTTTTGACAGCATCAGAACACTGACTTATTTTCCCAGTCCTAAAACACACATACAATCATTTCAGAATTGATATACCCAAATCACCATGCATATCAAATCAAGTAAAAAGAAATTAAGATGCATTTGTAGTTCCTTATTTTTTCCCTAGAGTAAAAGCACATAATCAAAGTGTTGTCTTTAAAGTTACTTGAATTAGTTCTTTGTCTTTGTCTCCACAACCCTTGCTTCAATATAGTAATGCCATCCATTTTGCAGAGGTTTATGCAGAGAAGTATCCCTGCCTACTCTATTACTTCTGTCTGGTTTTCCCTCACCTATTGTATGTAAGTGTTTTCATTGTCTTCTGGTTTATTTTTCCTGTGTTTCTTTTTCCAAAAATAAGCAGACTTGTGTATTTTCTTAGAAATAGAAATAGAATAGTTCATAGAAATACTTTTTAGTGAAATTGTATAGTACTCTGTTGTATAAAGTACTTCAAAGTATTCAGATATTTCCCAGTATTTTGCTATTCTACAAATAATCCTGCAGTTAAGAGCTTTGTATGTATGTACTTCCTTTTTTTTTTTTTTTTTTTTTTTTTTGAGACAGAGCCTGGCTCTGTCACCCAGGCTGGAGTGCAGTAGCATAATCTTGACTCACTGCAACTTCCACCTCCCAGGTTCAAACGATTCTCATGCCTCAGCCTGCTGAGTAGCTGGGATTACAGGCATGTGCCACTATGCCTGGCTGATTTTTTTTGTATTTTTAGTAGAGATGGGGTTTTGCCATGTTGGCCAGGCTGGTCTCTAACTACTGACCTCAATTGATCTGCCTGCCTCAGTCTACCAAATTGCTGGGGTTACAGGCGTAAGCCAGTGTGCCTAACCTGTATTTTGGTATTTTGAAGATACATCTTCATGATATATTCCTAGAATTAGGATTGCTACATTGAAGAGTAAATGTCTGTGTGGTTTTGTTAGATATTGACAAATTCCCCTTCACGGGCTATACCATTCTGCATTTCCATTACCAATGTATGAGCATGCATATTTCCCTACAGTCTCTTCAATGGAATGTATTATCAAGTTTTTGAATATGTGCTAATCTGGTGGGTGAGAAGAGTCTCTGTGTACTTTCAATTTCAATTTCATGAGTGAAATTGTACATCTTCTATGTACAATGCCTGCTGTGTTTAAGGGCCATGTTTATGTCTCTTTTTGGGAATTTGTCATGTCTTTTGCCCACTTTAAGATAGTACTGTCACTGTTACCTCACTTTTAAAAATGCTTATATAATAGAGATATAAACTCTTTATCTGTGATAAATACTTAAAAAAATTCTTCCAATTTGTTATTTGTCTTTTAACTTGTTTATAGTTTTTGTCACTTTCTTTTTTTGTAGTCAGATCTATCAAGCATTTCTTCTCTTTCATGTGGCTTTTGAGTTACAGTTAGAAATCTACCTACAATCAAATTTTACGGAGATTCATTTCTGTTTTATTCTGGCACTTGCATAGTTGCATTTAGACCTCTAATCCATCTGGCACTTATTTGTGTGGGAAGTGGACATAATTTTATCTTTTTCCCAACTGTCTATCCAGTTGCCCCACTACCTTTATTTAAAAGCCCATTTGTTTCCTGAGATTTGAGATAATACCACCTTTGTCATAGTCTAGATTTCCACATGCTGTTGGGTCTGTTTCTGGACTTTCTATTTGTTCTAACTGTTCATGTGCCAGTACCTCACTGTTTTTAAAGCAGAGACTTTATAATATGCTTTAATGTGAGTATGGCCAGTCTCCGTTCCTTCACCTCACCCCTCATCCACACACTATATATATTCCTTTTCAGTATTTCCCTACCATGTGTATTTCTCCATATGAACTTTAGTATTAATTTGGCTAGCTACAGAAAGAAAAGGGGTTGCTGTTTTGTTGGAATTTTATCAAATTTACAAATTATCTTTGGGAAAACTGACATCCAGATACCATTGAGACATCCTAATCAAGTCCTCAAGATGTCTTTCTATTATGTCATGTCTACCTTTGTGTCCTTCAGGAATGTTTATAATTTTCTTCATTTAGGTTTTGGACACTTTTAAAGTTCATTCCTAAATATTTTATTTTTCTTATTGCTATTATAAATGGGTTTTTTCACTTATATTTTCAAACTGGTTATTTTTGAGTATATGAAAGCTATTGATTTTTGATTTTTGCAATTGTTAAAGTATTTTGAAATATACCTAATTTTATTGCCTCTGAGTATGTAACCTCAGCATTTTTAGTGCTTCCGAATTTTTGAAGTATTTTTGCAATATGTCTTTTGGCTAGTGTATATGATAACTTGATCCAGTAAAACAAAATAACTCCTAATGGAATACACTGCTTCAATAAAATGACCTATAATTAGTTATCAATTGTATGCTGTTCTAATGTAGTCATTATTTTTCTTAAATACTTTAAAATTATCTACTTCAATGGTAACAAATTTTTAAATTTCAAAACATAATAAAGAGGGCAAAGATAAGCTTCAGCCCAGGTCTTGCCCAAATTCTCTCAAAGGTTCAAAATCACAAGCCTTTTAATAGTATGTGCTACACATGCCCAATAAATATTATCCTAATGGTATCAAACATTCTTGCTTATTCTATGGTTGATGGAGTCAGAGGGAGGTGGACTTCCCTGACCATCTTTCAGTTTCACTGCAGTGGTTCCCAGTTCATTTCAGCAGACTGACCCTTCTGTGCTAGCTGAATGTCTTCATTTGTTTTTTATTGCTATAGTAGAACCTGAAACCGGGTAACTTGTAAAGGAAAGTGGTTAATTTAGCTCATGATTCTGGAGTCTGATAAGTCCAAGATTGTGGGGCTACATCTGGTGAGGGTCTTGTGCTGCTTCACAGCATTGTGGAGAAACAGGAGAGGGGAGTCTAAGTGTTACCACCCACTCTTTGAGAACTAACCAAGTTCCATGAGAACTGCGTTAATCTCTTCATGAGGGCAGAGCCCTCATGGGGTGGCCAGATACCTTCAACTAGGCCCTACCTCCCAGCACTGCCACATCGAGGAACCAAGGTTCTAACACATGAACTTTTGGGGAACATACTCAAACCATAGCACTGAACTATCAATACTTATTTGTAGAGAAAGTCCATAAAATCTGCAAGTGCTACAAAAGCTATAAATCTTTTGGACAAATTAAACTGTTGTTATCATTCCTGTTCTTGCATCTGTTGAAAACACAGCAGTAAGTACACATGGAAATTATTTATGTAGCTGTCAGACACTGTTTACTATACAAGTGGATTAAGAGGCCACTTTGGAAAAACTCCTCACATACCCCTTTCCCCAAGGACCCCAAGACCACAGATCGAGTCCCTGACCATCTTTCAGTTTCACTGTAGTGGTTCCCAATTCATTTCAGCAGGCTGACTCACCGTATGATGCTCTCAGGAATGTTACCTGCAGCATTGTTACAAGTATTCACAGACAGATATGGCTACAACATCAGTTTTTTCAACAGGAATGGCTTCCTTAAGCATAAACGCTTCTTTTAAAAATCGTATCTGGTTCTATCTTACATGAAAGGTGGTACGTTACCATTTTTACCATGTTCTTGACTTTACTTGATGATTTCCTCAAACTCATTCTCCTCTATAGCTATGTGGCTAGAAGAACTCTTAAGCATATTTTTTCAAACTCTTCTTTAGGATTTTGTTTTAGGTCTCTATAAATTTTTAAGTATAGGAAACTCAATAGAGTAAAACCATTTCTATTTGACAAAAATAAAAGAAATCTAGATACTTCAATTTTGAAACCCATATGCCTATAAGACATGAATCCATCAAGATGATGAATTGCATGCTAATCATATCCATCTGTAGTACTTAGAGGGAGATAATGAGCAGAAGGTTAGCACTAATTCTTTATTATAATTTGAAGAGATTTATTGAGGAACCCATATCATACTCCTAGTAGTACATAACCACTGCACAAAAAAAAAAAAACCCAAATTTTGGAGAATAGATGAATTCAAGAAGACATCACGGAATTCTTTGCTATATTCATTCAATACATACAGTCTTATACCTAGGACATCTAAGACATTGGTCTTAGATTTTGGGATACTGCAGTGAACGATGTAGACACAGCGTTCCAGGAGTTTACAGTCTATGTAAGACTATTCTTGCTGCATTGACTAAAAAAAAATTCTTAGTTTGTATGGCAGAGAATTTTGGCAAAATCCAAGCACATTTGGAAGAGACTTCCTAGTATATTAACTACTCCCTGTTGCTATGTGTGATGCTATGTGGGCAATTATTCTGAGGCCATTAGTTCTATCAGTAAGTAATTTTCTCTTTAAATTTAGTTTGTTTTTTAAAAGTTATAAAATAATTAATGTACAAGAAACAGCAGGGAACTAACTTTAAAATGAATAAATATGGTTTGCAGCATTGTGAAGGAGCATGTGAGGAATGTTTGTCTCTGCAGAAGACAGCGGGTCTTCTCCAGCCTTAAGTGTGAGCATCCAAGTAGACTGAGTTGCATTATATATTAGAATTTATCACTGCTTCTGCGTATGCAATAATGATGATGAGAAAGGATCCTCCACAGCACAGCTTTCACCTCTCTGAAACAAGAAAGACTTGATTAGAACAAGATTAGGATAAATGAATATCTAAAATCCCAGTCCTCCTCTACCTGCCAGAAGCTGAGAGAGCCTGATAGGACAAGAAGAAGAGACAATTACAGCTCCTATTTCCCTGACACTCAGCCCATGCCCAAAGCCACCTATTGAAAGGAAAACCCTGCGCATCCAATGACATCATATAATCATACCTGAAACAATGGAAAGTGCTGAATATATACCATTATTCAAAGGTAATTTGACAGACTAAAGAGACTGTGTATTTCCCCAGCTGTGTGTTTCCTACCCTTGGTATGAAGATGTTGGAGCCACTTTATGATTTGGGTCCAACCAACGCTCTAGTTTCATCTCGTCCCTCCCCATAGCATACCAATGCCTTAATAAGATTCTTTAGGTTATAGCTATCAGAAACCAAACAAGCATTTCTACACAAAAAGGGCATTTATTAAAAGAATATTAGCATATCTGCTGGAATCCAAGGAAGAGGTAAATTCCCCAGCATCTGGAAGATCCAGGAACTTCCACAAAGGGAAGTTCCATTCCTCTGCCATTAACATGGCTCAGCTCCCAACAGCCTTAGTTTTGAATTCCAGAATTGTAAGAAGAAAATCGGAATGACCCAGCCAATGTTTTTTTTTTTCAAGACTCAGGCAATGCTGGCCTCTGCCCTGGGCTCCACACTTCAGAGGGCCCTGAATATGACAAAACCATGAAAAAAAGGTATTAAAAAACAGATGGGTCTCTTTATCACTGGGATCCTGCATAGTTCTTGGTGCAACACAAGCGGTAATTCTAAATCCTCAGGGAAACATTTCTCTATGTATCTTGTCATAAGATCTTGAGTACAAGGCAAGCACATTTGGACTACATGAGACTTTGTGGATTGTGCTGCTGTGGATGTTTGAGGGAAACAGTGCTTTAGAGGGCAGGGGAGATTGAGTAACTCTTGCACATAGAGAAGAGTAAAGGCAAATTAATTAACTCGTAAAATCCACGTTCTCAGATACCATAAAGAGAACACATCCCCTTATAATGAAAGTCTGTTTTCTAGTAGCACTGAACATCTATTCTTTTATTTCTCTTCTTGTTGCCATTTGCAGTTCTAGAGGCACTTAAGATTTTAGGGTGGCATTCACAATAGTTAACACGTTGCAGCTGAGAAACATTTCGCAATGTTAAGCAATTCAGATTGTCAGATTGCTTTTGAAATTTGTATATATATAGGTCTTTAATATCAGGTAAACATAGTGTTGATTCTTTTCATGTTAAATGGTAAAATTACAAACAGTATTGTTTTTATGAAACAACAAAATTTTATTAAAATTATAAAAATTTTAAAATTCAGCTAGATTTAACTAATTTTGATTAACATTATGAAACCCATTAATTACAATTTGTGTTTACTGCTTAATTTATAAAATGATTTTAAGTATTTTAGAAGAAAAACTTCTTTTGGAAAACTACATTTTAAAAATTGTATATATATATATTCTAAGCTGCAATTTTGAATTAAAATATGATGAAATTACATTTAATTTTTTAATCTTTTAGATTTTTAGGAATGACTACAAGTCAAAATCACAAAAGGAGTAGAAAATGTAAACATAAACCCAAAATAGAAAGAAGAAATAATCTTCAAAGAGGATGTTTTCTTAAGATTTTTAAACTCACAATTAAATTGAACAAATAAGCAAATCTACATAACATATATAAATAAGATATTACAAATCCTGTATATATAGAGACTTTACTTACTGTTCAAAACAATGGAAATGAACAAGAAATTGTCCCAGTTAAATCCACAACTTATATGCCTCCAGTGAAATTCCTGCAACTAAGAAAATTCAATAATTCATATTTTAAAATACAAATATTTCTTATCAAATGAAGATTTAATTACTCATTAAAACAAACGAGATTTGAAAAGATATTCATATCAAAATCAAAACCCAAAA